GCAGATGAGCAAACACTCTGACACAAATGTCTTGCAGACGTCAAATAGATGTCTCCGTGATGTACGTGTGTTACAATGGTTAATTTCTTTCTAAAATAAATTGTTTTGTTTGTGTTGTATCAGTCCAAATGGGTTAATGAGTAGTTCTGTACTAAGGCATTGACTTCAGTTGAGGGACAGTGGCAAAGGTTAAGCTAGACTCAAGGTTACACATTGCTAATCATGGTAATGGAATGTTTACTTTCTTTCGACATGACCAAGAGTCTTCGATTTCTTGACAATCATGGCTAATGGCTCACTTCACAGTACAATGCAAAAAAATATATATATTTTTCTCTTTTGTCAGTGTTTTTTTTATTTTTTATTAACAAATTATTTATTCGTTTTTTTTCCCTGTTTGGACACCTTTGAGATATGGAGAGGTTTACGTTTCTCATAATTCCCACTGAGTTAATAATATATTTGGTCACTGCCTTGTACGTGTAGGGTGCTAAACATGTCCATGTACTCTTCCTCTATTTCTTTTGTTTTTCTCCATCCTATCCCCCTTTTTATGAACAGAAAGACACACATCTGCTTTCCATCACACCTTTGCAGCTATGACTCGCTCTCTTGTATTCCTTTCATCTCTGTCCAGTTTCTTCACTCACTATCTTGCTTATACCTTTTGCTCTTTATTCATCATATTTTCTACACTTTCTTTCTGCTTTTTGTGAAGCCAGTAACTTCTGTAATTACCACCCTGGATCTGTTAACTGTGTTTAAGTGAGTGTGTTTGCTTACTTTGTGTGTGTGTGTGTGTGTGTGTGTGTTTACTCAGGTCTTACAATCACAGACTAAAGCAGCAGAGATGCTGACAGAAGCAAACTACTGTTCGGCTAGTCACAGTCTTGCACAGGACCTTCGTGAACACAGTTACCATGGATTCTGTCAATACAGATAAAGAAATAACCTCTCCACCAGTCTTTTGATATGTATGGTCACATAATTTTTTAGGATTGAATTTACTGTACCATATACCATTCTTTGGCTGAACAAGTATGTTTGGTTGAGCCAATTTATCTTTTTCCGGCCTAGTTGGGACGTCAAACAGTTTGCAATTTGTTTGGTGCTGCTTGTGCTGCATAAATTGCACATCTTGACTTTAGTTGTCCATGTTTTTCACCACGTTTAGAACCACATGCTTCAGTCCATTATTATCTGAGATACAGCTGCCTATTAGTCATGATAGAGTGAAACAAAGAACGTCCTGTTTATAGGCTGATCAATTCGACATGCATGCGATTTGCTCAGCCGAAACTAGTGTCATTCAAAATAGACTCATAAAGGCCATGCATACACACATATACTGTACATATACAGTACACACACACTACTATTGTAGTTTTTATTAATATTTTGAATAACATTTTTTTTATTAATTACATTTTTTTTTTCAGATTTCCCGTTTTCATTTTAATTTGTTAGTTTTAGTAATGTTGTTGTGTATTTTTGTACTTTTTGTGTTTTTTGAATATGTTAATTTAGTTTATAATATTTTTTTATTTAGATTTATTTATTTTAGTACATCAGGTTAAACAAAATGGAAATAATAAATAAAAATAATTTTTATGTTTATAAAAAAGTATATATATATTTTTAATGTCTATTTTTAAATTATATTCTACAGTTTAAATTATATAGTTTAAAATAATTTTTAAGTTTTAGTTGTTCTAGTATACCATGTTAAACAAACTAGAAACAAGAAATGTTGCTTTAAAAAGAAGCACTTTTTAAATATTTTATGTTATATTATTAAATGTTTTTTAATTATTTTAGTTAATTGTAATAACCGTAATATATATGTAAACATTATTACATTGTAAACATTATTAAATTAATCTTTTCTACACTTGGTAAGAGTAGTGCTTTTGCATGATGCTACATCCACATCAATAAGTGGCAGTATACATTTCAAGATGGTCTCTAAAACAAAATAGTTCTAAATATTTCTCAATTAAAGCACTTCTAACTTTATTAGCTTGTAATCATATTTGTTATCGTTATATAATTCTAAGTAAACTATGTAGAAACTAGATTTTAACATGCAGTAGCCTATGCTTTAAGTATGATCACTAGTAATAGCAAGCCTTTCTTCAAAAATCAGCATGATCTGAGGTATCATTTATGTACTTAGCACAAATTGTGTTAAGTCAAATCAAAGTTTAATAAATCAGTTTAAGGGTTTGTTCAGATCTCTAACCCCAAGTATTAGCAACAAAGGTGACGCTTAACTTAGCAAACACCAATTAAAAGATGTTAGCATTGCTACGCTTGCCTTTGTCAGAAACGTTCAGGCACACGAAGCGGCTGAACTTGTTTACTTCAGTAAGCAAATGAGGGCTCTTGGCCATTGTCAGCAGTGCGGCAAACGGCCGGCTCGGGACGGTCCCGAGGGAGCTAACATTTGCAGTAGCCTTTGAAAGGTCCCGCAGAGAGAGGTTTCTCTTTAGCTAGAGAGGATCGCCAGGGGGACACTTAGCTTTCATTACTTCCTGAGAGAGAGAGAGAGAGAGAGAGAGAGAGAGTAATGCACTTCAATGTTACATAAACGGCCTCAGGTGCACCTTCTAGGTATCAAACCTCTCTTTTATGGGGAAAAAGGTTGAATAGTATTTAATGTCCTTTTCTAGGAGGAGGGAAGTGTTCTGTGAAGCTTTATGGCTTGTGAAGGGAAGCCCGTATGTGTTTTAGTGCAGTTAGGCTGACATCTTGATAAGACTTGTGGTGTTTAAAGTGCCTTGTTGTGCTGCATGGTAAATGATTGAACTTTTGTTTGTTGGTGTGTGGATAAAGTTTTAAGTGGTTTTAAATGGTTTCTTTTTCTAAAAGGCAACATCAAGTTTTCCACTTTTGAACAATAAATTAGTAGCCCTGGAATAAAAAAAAAAAAAAAATTTCCCTATGTTTTCAAATGAAAATGTACATTTATGTAATATATTTATATAAATATATAAATGTACATCTATCTATCTATCTATAAAAAAATAATAATAATTCCCTGATGTTTTCAAATGAAAATGTACATTTATGTAATATATTTATATAAATATATAAATGTACATCTATCTATCTATCTATCTATCTATCCTTTATAAAGTTAGTTATTTAAAATATAGAAAACTTTTTATATTCGTTTTTATATTAATGTGTAATATTTCAAAGCACATTTTTCATATTTTTTGCATTTCATGGGTTCACATTTTTCTAAAGAATAGTACATTCATATAAATAAATGTATGTATAAATTCTAAAATATTAAACATTAAAAATGTTATATATTACATTCAAATTATACATTACAAATGGCAATGGGTTCAGAAAGATAAACTTAATTCAAAGGGAAACAAGATTGGTTTTCTATTTTTTTATGAACAATTTAGACTGCCATTCATTTTGTTTTTGTTTCATAAGGCCTAGCACAAGGCTATTCAATTAGTTTTATTTGAGGGCCGGATTGTTGAACTGAAATTTTGAAGGGGGCCAAGGGGGTGGGTGGCTGTCCCGATCTCTTTCTGAGGGGCCTATAAAATTAGAAATTAAATTTCTATAAAAATTTATAATATTATCAACACCAACATCTATAAAAGGTTAACATTAGTGATGTCTGTGAATCGATTAGAATAATAAAAAAAACTAATTATTCACACATTTTTCTATAATTAATTGTAATTAACTGCATATTAATATATTTATATTGTCATAATTTCACATTGAACCTCCAAATTAATGTAGAAACAATATAAAGATAGTTTATTTTAAATATGTGTTTAATGGCATTTTTTTACTAAGTAGCCTATTATTAACAATGGTCAGTATTTTTTATAACAATGCAATACTGCTACTGATGTCTCTATTAAATGCATTTTGCCCTTAATTTTAGCCATTGATTATAGCAATTCAACGTTACAGTATAATTGAAAGCCATTATTTTTAACAGTTAGTAGGTCCTGAAATATATAATTTTTAACTTTTAATTTAAGTGAACTTAAAACAATCTTCACATAAACCAGAAATTGTATATGCATAAATTAATCTTTATTCAAGCTACAAAACTTCAGCGACTAGCTCTTAATCAGCGACTAGAGCAGTCGAGTGATTTCTTTTCTTTTTTTTTTCTGTGATTTACATCAATGAGGCTTCATCAGATTTCACTTTAAAAGCAGCGCTGTCACTTTAAAATCTGATGCACATGACGCGTATCTGACACACATCCGATTTTCTCCCAACTCTTTACGGTTATTTAAGACTTTATAACTCATTTAAGACCGTGTTTACGAGGTCACTCGCCAAAACCCAGCATTTTGACATAATTCTGTTTTTGTCCATTGAAGCGCTACTGGCGCGCTGTCTGAAGCGGGGCTCAGCTACAGCCGAACACGCAGTCTTTCAGATTCCATTCGATAATCATCTTCGTCCAGTGTCTGCGCTATTTCTCGACAGAAGTTATGACGGACAACACTGCCTTTATACTCCTTTAAACTAGAGTTGTGGATATGTCATAACCCCCTCACACAAGCGCTTGTCAGTGCTGCCATTCATTGATGTTAATTTGCGATTGTTGTTGTTGTGTCTCTCATCTTTTTCTTTTGCGATTGTGAAACAACGGCCCAGGCCAGTGTTGCCACCTTGTGGACAAACTAATTAGTGCAAAAACAATTCAAGATGTAATGTGCGACCTGAGCGTAGGCTACTCTCCCCTCGGGCCGGATGAAGATGAATGGCGGGCCGGATGTGGCCCGCGGGCTGCCAATTGAATAGCCCTGGCCTAGCTTTTATTTTCACTGAAATACAGCACGTTAAATGCTAATGTCACATGCTGCCTTTGTTCTCAATGCTACCTTTGTTAACATATTTGAATCGAACGCTATTTCGTACTGCTGACCCTTTTAACTAGGGATGCACCGATACCGATACTGGTATCGGTATCGGGCCCGATACTGGTCTCCTGTACTCGTACTCGTACTCATTAAAATGCCCCGATACCAAACGCCGATACCACACAGCGTGTGATAAGCGCCATATTCAAACAAAGAAACACCAACAACAGAACAACAGACAGCAGAAAGGAGTTAAGTGTATATATGTATGCAATGAATATAATGTTAAACATTCAGTATTAACGCCTGTATAGCTGGTGTGCGCGAGCTGATAAACAAAGCACGCTGAGTGGATTGAGCGTGCGGCAGCACAGATGCGAGAGCTAGTCGAGTGAATATATCTTACCAAAAATAAAAGTATCGGTATCGGGCGAGTACTGGAAAAAGTGGTATCGGTGCATCCCTACTTTTAACCCTCAAAGACACACTTACACACCCACCTGCAGACACAGACGCACATTGGAAATCATTTAGCTCTCTTACTTGCATTTATTTAGGTCAGAAGAAGAAGCAACTAGAGTATATAAGCTTGTTACGAGCTGCCCTGAAGAAGTGTGTAAATGTGAAGCCCCAGAGCGGAGCTCTACTGGGGAATTCAATGTATGTGCTTTCTGACAGACTCGTTAATCTATAGAGCTGCTCTGTACGGCTCAGAAATAGGTCAAAGCTGAGACTAGGGTTTTATACGAGTATGTAATATGTGTGTGCGAGTGTGTTTCACCTGAAAGTGCATACAACATTGCATCTGCACTATGGTTGTCATTACAGAAGACTAAAATCACATTGCTTGAACCAACTGTTATTTCATGGATAATATTTCATTCAGTTGGTCCAAACATCCCATTGTGTGAGCCATGTGCTCTCTTAAAGATGCAGACTGTGACTTATGTGTGGTGTGATGTAGTATTTAAGAGGCTGACATGTGTTTGGAACTAGAAGCAACAAGCTAGCTAGACGCAAAATAGGTTTTTATTTGTGAATATGATTGGTGCACTCTGCAAAAAAATAAATAAACAAAAAAAAATATTTCCAGCTCAAGTATCTTAATATTCTTAAAATAAGATTTACTTAAGCAAAATGACTTAAGTCTGTTTGAAAATTAGTCTTTTTTTTTTTTTTTTGAAGAAAAAAAAACAAAACATCAAAGTAAGTGTTTATGCTTAAAACAAGAAGAAAAATATCTGCCAACTGGGTCAGAAAAATAAACCTAATTCAAAGGATATACAAGATGCTTTTTCAAGATTCTTTATTTGTACTGGAAAACAAGACTAAAATAATGAGGTTGCAAGGTTGTTGCTAGGCGGTTGCTAACATGTTCTTAGTTTGCCATTAAGTATCTAGGCTAATCTGGTCTTGAGCTCAGATCCTTCTGTAAATGTTAAGTTTATTGGAATTTTGCCCGCATTATCCACCAATTTAATACTGTGGTTTGATAGCTGATAGCTAATAATTAATTAAATCAAATGTAAAATTAAGATAAAGAAATGGGGTTGCACAATTAATTGAAATAAAACTGAAATCATGATATAATATATATGATATGTAATATATATAAAATGTGTGCAATGTGTGTTAGCAGGTTCTTCAAATCATTAAAGGTCCCATATTGTCAAAACTGAAATTTCCTGGCTTTTTTCATGATAACTGAGGTCTAGGTGCTATGTAACTACCATATAAGTTTCAAAACAGTCAATCCACAGTCAAATGCACACAGCCTGCATAAAGTAGCTGTGATTTTACTTATACCGCAAATATACATTCTTAAGGACATCAAGACTTAAAATAAAACTCCAGAAAGTTGTAAAATATGTGACCTTTAACCCTCAGTATCAGCCACAAGAGAGAGAGAAAAGCGGACATGATAAAGAGCACCCTTGATCTGCAGGAAGTCATTTTATAATTGAGATTGTACGTCTGGAAAATATAGCAGCTGTCTTCTGCAGCGTATTTCTGGTTTATATATGTCTGTGAGGCCAGACTGCTGTTGATGCTGTTAAAGATCAAACACTATAAGCAAACACAGAGCCTGATAGTCCACGATCAAAGCACGGTGCACCCCAGTCAACATCGTAAATACACAGATGTGAGCACTCACACTCTTACATTCATACTGAGATGCTCTGGATCTTGTGGTTGTGATAAAACACTTCACTGATGAAATATTCTCAAATGCTTTGATGCATAATTCTATTGTTCTGCCTCTTTAGTAAATTTTACAGGGTCTTCCAAACTCACAGTTACATCGGACCATGATACTTCTGAAGGCATGTTCCGGGTTCAATACAAGTTATTTATGAATATCTTAATATCTCTTTAAAATGAAGGTTCCAAAAGGAGGTTTTCACAACAATGTCATAGAATATCCATTTTGGTTCTCCAAAGAGCCTTTAGTGAACAGTTCTTAAAAGAACCAGTTTTTCTTAGAGTAAAGGACGTTTTAATAATCTAAGAACCTTTTTCCACTTTAAAGAACC